TCCCCAAAAAATGGTATACAATTCATGTCAGTGCAGCGTTGTATAACATTGTATAACGCAGCGCTGAACAATGGGCGGGACAGGAAGGGGGGCGTAACCGCGCGGTCCGCAAGTAGTTGATGAATAGATGTAGATTGTAAGCTCCTCGGGGGCGGGGACTGTAAATTATGTAAAGTGCTGTATAAAATAAATCACGACTGTCTGCATTCAGCTTCCTTCTCCTCCGCAATCTCCTAAATGAACCTCATCGCTCTGACTTATTGGACCAGCGCACCCGGCACCCTCCATGTGTCTATGAGCGGCTGATACTAACAAATGTTTTCTGTGTTTTGCAGCTTCATTCCCTCCATCAGTCCCTGCGAGATCTGAGCACTGACCAGCTACGTCTGCATGATGACCTGGGCCGGGAGCTTGCTCGGAGGAACAGGTACTCTTTTCTGTATTGTAGAGCCAGACATGAACATAAAGGAGGCTCTCTCGTTCCGTGACCAGGCCCGTCGGGTCTCTCGTTCCGTGACCAGGCCCGTCGGGTCTCTCGTTCCGTGACCAGGCCCGTCGGGTCTCTCGTTCCGTGACCAGGCCCGTCGGGTCTCTCGTTCCGTGACCAGGCCCGTCGGGTCTCTCGTTCCGTGACCAGGCCCGTCGGGTCTCTCGTTCCGTGACCAGGCCCGTCGGGTCTCTCGTTCCGTGACCAGGCCCGTCGGGTCTCTCGTTCCGTGACCAGGCCCGTCGGGTCTCTCGTTCCGTGACCAGGCCCGTCGGGTCTCTCGTTCCGTGACCAGGCCCGTCGGGTCTCTCGTTCCGTGACCAGGCCCGTCGGGTCTCTCGTTCCGTGACCAGGCCCGTCGGGTCTCTCGTTCCGTGACCAGGCCCGTCGGGTTGTCGGGTCTCTCGTTCTGTGGAGAACTGTGTTTACAGTATATCTGGACCAGGGGTGGGCAAATGTCAGCCCTCCACCTGTGCAGGAACAATAAATCCCATCATGCAACAGTCTCGGAGTCGTGGCTTTGAGAATGTCGCAATGCCTCCTGGGATTTGTAGTTCCACAACAGCTGCAGAGCCGTGGATTTCCCACCCCTGGTCTAGGCTGTATTAAAGATCTGGGCCCCTCCGTGCTCTGCGTGTTGGATACAATGATACATATCAGAACACGGTTATTCCCTCATCATAAATACACTTTTATAGACGGTACACGTCGTCATCACATTGCCGGGAGTCGTCTTTACACGCCAGACCTGCATGGGGCGGATTGGGGGCCGCCTTGTGCTCTCCGTTCCTCTCGTGTTCCGTGTTCACTGGTTTCACTTTTTTTTCTTGTCGTATAAAATCTTAATAACCTTCAATAAAAACCACCGTGATGGGGGGAGGGGCTCTCCAAATGCCGAGGCGCTGGTCATGTGATCACAGGCCTGCAGTTTGGGTGTGATCTCTATGGCGGCCCTGTTGTGGACGAGGCTTAGGAGGAGGACGTGGAGGCTCTCTGGCTGTATTCTGCGATCGCTGACATTGTGATAAGTGATTTGTATTTTTCCCGATAGAACCGACGCGGACACAAAGAAAACCCTGGAAGAATTATCTGCCCGCCTGAATGAGAGCCAGCACCAGGAGACGGTGAGTGTGGTAGTGTCGCAGAGCCCGTCACTTCCAGCATTGCCGATTGTCTGCTCGTGTTCTCCACACGTTATTGCTTCTTGTCACATTGCGGCCATTACCGGGTAATCCCGTCATCTGCTGCCATCATCCTGGCTTGTCTGCGCACAGCTCCCCCAATGTCTGCCCAGAGATCAGGGAATGTCATATTGCAGCACCCAGGGTGGCAGTAGCTGGCTTTATTATGACTTTTCTCTCATGTACTTGTAATGTTCACAATGAACGAGAAGACATTAGACTGATGACCAGAGGACACAATGCTTCCAGTATTCCTCTAACCTCCAGTCATCAGACTCCCTGTGTAAGGAGAGGTGATGGAATTCCTATCCCAATGGTGTTTGCAGGTGTCTGAGCGGGTGCAGAGGCGGCTGCAGCAGTTGGAGAAGGAGATGAGGATGGAGAGGCAGCAGGCAGAGGGCCGGCAAGAGCAGCTGGGTCAGGTGTCCACTCAGCTTCAAGAGGTAAAACCCACCTATCCTGGATATCCCCCGGGCAAAAGTCCTCATACCCCCCCAATTATGGTTTGTGAGCCTTCTACCCACCTCCTCATACACTGGCACCAGGACCTCTACCCTCCGCCTAATACACTGGCACCAGGACCTCTACCCTCCTCCTAATACACTGGTACCAGGACCTCTACCCTCCTCCTCATACACTGGTACCAGGACCTCTACCCTCCGCCTAATACACTGGCACCAGGACCTCTACCCTCCTCCTCATACACTGGTACCAGGACCTCTACCCTCCTCCTAATACACTTGTACCAGGACCTCTACCCGCCTCCTAATATACTGGCACCAGGA